AGGAGTAGGAAGAGCAAGAGGAGCAGTAGGAGTAGGAGGAGCAGTAATGGTTGTAGAGGTAGTAGTGGTAGTAGTGGTAGTTGTAGTCGTCGTCGTCGTCGTAGTAGTAGTAGTAGTAGTAGTGGCAGCAGTGGCAGTGGCAGCAGCAGTAGCAGTAGCGGTAGAAGCAGCTGCAGTTCAGCAGCTGCAGTTGAGCAGCAGCAGCAGCAGCAGCAGCAGCAGCAGGCAGCAGCAGCAGCGGCAACAGCAGCAGCAGCAGCAGGCGGCAGCAGCAGCAGCAGCAGCAGCAGCGCGGCAGCAGCAGCAGCAGCGGCAGCAGCAGCAGCAAAACAGAAATAATGTTAGTCGTCTTGTACTCCAAGTTTAGCAATAGTAGAACTGCTGACGCATGCTGCTACTCCTGCTAGCACTAGTGCTTGGAGTAGGCAGGGCACCTTGCTTGGCATGCTAACAATCAGCACTGGCTAAGTCACGTTCGGCCACGATTTGTCGTCGCGATTCCGATCACATCGCCTATCCGCCAGGACAGTGCCCGGGGGTCCTGGCGAAGGAGTGGAGAATGAGAAGGGGTTTCTTGGAGCAAATGAGAGTACCTAAAGGCTCAGACTCATGGGTGCGTCAGGTTTGGGCATCAGGCTTTGAAGGCGGGGACTTGGCAGGGAAAGGAACGGTGCTGCAACCTGCTCGTAACCTCCAAGTTGTATGTTCTTTCATATTTGACTCGCAAGCCCAAGCTCCACACAAGAACCCTCAGAACACAACGCCCGCCTCGCCCGCCAAATCATTGAGGCTTCCTGCCGAACCTGCCCTGGTTGTGGGCTGTAGGGGTGCAGGGTCTAGATCCCTTCATGATCGAGGGTGGGGGTTTGGGACTTATGGGAACGAACCCTAAACTCACTAAGTCCGCAACGCCACCAGTAAGCCTGCAAGCTCTAAACCCTAAGCTGTAACTCCTTGAGAGTTCTATTCTACGGCCTGACCCGATAACCCCTCGACGGGCCAGTCCTCCTTCAGCTCTATCTCGGACTCGCCCTGTGCCACATCTCTTGCCAGCAAAGTCCATGTGCCAAGAGGCCGGCCATGCATCAGGATCTGTGCCTCCGGTTTCGGGTTTCGGATCTACATCGAAGGACGGGCATGACCCTGAGCAACAAGTCGAACCTTGCTATGTCGCGGAAGCTCCTGTCGATGTCTCCTTCAACATGAATAGCGATGAGTAGCTTAAGCAAGTGGCGCCCTTGACTACGCACAGTATAGTGGAACCTGCCCACCCATCTGCCCAGACCCCTGCGACCTCAAACACCGAAACCCTGCACTGCAGGAAAAGCACGAGTCACATATATTGTTCATACAGAAGCCTGAATAAGTAGAACTGGGTGTTCGAAATCTCAGCTATTCTAAATGCACGAAGAAGCCCGAAGGAACATGTCCTTCCTATGTTTAGGGATTCAGGGTCTGGGGGATGTAAGGTGTTTGGAGTGAGTTTTCAAGTATTGGGGTTTGGTTTGGGACCCTCCAAAGCCCCGAAACAGAAACCTTGTACCGTATGTCCAGAACGCTACGAGGGACCCTTCCAAAACGCTATAAATGGCCCTCACAGAACCTTTGACGGTAATCTCAACCCTGCAGGTCACACCTTGTCTTGGCCGGCAAGGAAGCGGCTCCCAAGCGTTGGGTGCGGGGACGCCTGTTTGGGTTCCGAGCTTCTTCGGGTGAAAGGAAAACGTCCTGCCTTTGGCTGTTGCGTATAAACGTTAAAACGAAGTGCGCGACGCGAGCTAAAGGGCTTATGGCGTCGACTCTGGTTTCCTGGTACGACTGCATTGCGCGTTTCAGCTGACGGGTTGTGGGGCCCCGGATGCTCTATAGGTGAGGCCCCGAGGCGGCCTAAGCTTGTCTGAGAGAGCTTCCAGGGATTGCGGACATGGATTTAGGGATCTGGGCGCAAATGGTTTAGGGGCAAAGGCTATTTTTCGATATCAAGGCGACTCGCCCAATCGGGGCAGCAGACAGGCTATCAACACGATGCGGAGAGTGGCGAGTATGCACTGCATCAAGCACACTCAAATCTCAAAACGTACTTCCTCTTTGTTCGAGCACTCAGGGCCTTGAAGCGCTCGCAGTGCGAGGGTATGCTCGTGAGGCAAATATTTATACTGTAGTACCACCAACAAATCTAAGCTCAAATTTACAAGCTTAGAGACATGTTCTTGAAGTTCTTGCAAGTTGTCTTCGAGGACAGGCTCGCCATCGGCCTAGAGCCCAAATCCCAAGCGACTCCGCACGGAAAAGCTGAAGCCCTCAACCCAGCTCGATCAAGGCCCATAAGGAGTAGGATGTTGGTGCTCACTAATTGCAGGACTTGGGCCTGATCGAGGCACTTTCTAAGTGAGGGTCGGCTTTGGGGCTCGTCTGCACATTGCTGCCGCCTTCTTTTGCAAAGCCAACACCGCCCTCAATGAAAGTCGCGGCAAGTACCAAGCTTGAATTCACTGCTTCTCTTTGAGGAAAGGGTCCAGACTTACGACAAGGGCACCCCATATATCAGGAGCTCGAAGCCCAAGCTGAGACTTTAAGAAGAGCCAAAGCCCATGAGTTATAGGCTTGCCGAGAACCTGCGCGTCAGTCAAGTTGATGGTGGCCAGGTTAGACATCGGCTGGCTCTCTGTTCCGATCTCGAGGATGCCCTTGCCTCAATGCGCTGGGATCTTTAATCATCGGGTCCGGTTTTATCGGCCAGTGCCCACTGTCTCAATACTTTTCGGCTTTAGGGGTTTAGGATGGCTCAGGGCTTCGTTGATCTGGCTTTAAAGCTGTTCCCGAGAGGTTAAGAAAGACAACCACCGCGTGGCCTTCCACGAGCACGTATCCAGCTGTCAGCTGCAGGTCATCGATGCCTTGAGTGAGTTTCACACGAAGACCGCGCACTTAACTGACACAACGACCAAATTAGCTATGACGATCGTCCGTCTGCTACACGTGACTCAATCTCCATTTCCTCTACGTCCTCGCTGTTTTTCTCCTCCATTTCCCCTGCTTCCAGTTCCTACAAATCTACTCCCGTCCTGCTGCTTCGTTCTTTGCGAAAGCCAAGAAAACCAACGCAGCATAGAACCAAGATGCCTCTGTCCCACTCCAGCTTGCCCCGGATCGTCAACGAAGCAAGCTCGGGTGGGGACCAGTCAAGGAGCCAATGCTCCTCTGCAGGCACCACGCAGTTGCTGCGCGCGGTGCAGCGGTTCGGCATGGAGCTCCTCGTGACAATGTATCCCGGCAACCCTCCGGTTTAGAGGAACACAAAGAAATTTCCGTTAAGATAATTGTCAGTTGAAGACCGCGACCAGCATTCACCTCGCGACTACCACCTCGCGATTACCACTGCCTTCAGAGGTACAAGCTTGGACAAAGACTTGGAATCAGCAGCGAAGCTGCTCATCTAGGTCCTGAAAGCATATCTCTTACGATTTTACAAGTAACAAATCGTGCAGACAGTCGGAGCTCCAGCTTTTGGGGCTCGCCGCACCGACAAACGGAGTCACCAGATCAGCTAGCAGAAGCCCAAGACAGAGCAGAAAAGCCATGGCGCCCGAGGCGAAGCACTCGCCTGTGAATTGCCAGGGGCTGTTGCTGGCGAGCGCTACCCTTTAAGGTCCTTCAAGGTAGCTGCCGGCAGCAGCCACAAAACTATGGCTTCTGCCGAGGTGGCTGCGGCCAAACGCAGACGGGTCGAGGCCAATAACAGCAAAGCGATCACCTAGTATCGACGTGTGTCATCGTGCTGAAGGGTGAGCCACAATTCTGTGACGCGTGCCTCCTGCCTCCGGTCCCTCTGCCTTCAACTCGTTTTACTCACCGGGTAGCTCTGGCGGTGGTAAGTGCTGTCGTCGTAGTCACGGCAGAGCAACAGTAGCAGTAGCCACCGCAGTAGTAGCAGCAGCAGCACCAGCGGCAGCAGCGGCAGCAGCAGCGCGAAAACGAACAACAGCAGCAATGGTGGTCGTCGTCGAAGCAGCAGCAGCAGCAGCAGCAGCAGCAGCAACACCAGCAGCAATGCATTCGCAAAAGCATCAGCATCAGGAGTAGGAGTCGGAGTAGTAGGAGTAGGAGTAGGGGCAGGAGCAGAAGTAGAAGTAGGAGTAGGAGCAGGGGCAGCAGCAGCAGCAGTAGTTGTAGTCGTAGACGTATTCGTAGTCGTAGTAGTTGTGATAGTATTAGTACTGGTATTGGTAATTGTGCTCAGTCACCAGAACTTGTTGCATGATACTTGTCTTCATCGTCATTGTCATCGTCATTGTCGTTATCATGAACAGCATCAACCCAACCATAAAACTTTGTGTTCATGGGCATGCCGCAGCGTCTTGGAGGCTACTGTCGAAGTTGTAGTCGTCGTGCAAGTAAATAGAATGGCTAGTCAAGGAACTGAAATTTATTTTTGATTTTCTTCAAGCTGACGATCTGAGTGGGCGGTCTCTTGAGAAGCACAAGCCTTGAAATTAACGAGCACTGACAGTCCCGACCTCATGCTGGAGTTGCATCCACAGCCAGGGCTTGAGCACCAAAGTCGCAGAAGGATGTTCTGCCAACTGGTAAAGATTTGTCCGCAGGCTGCGGGTTGGAAGTGGTTGGAAAGCTAGCCTTTGCGGTGTAACGGTAGAGGGCATGTGAACTAGGTTTGAGCTTCTAATGGCGGAAACTGCTGCAATCCAGACACCAGTCGGTCGGCGAATGCCTCTTTGAATTCCACCTACCTACGCCCATAGCGATGAAAGCTTGTGGTGGTTGACTCTTGACGAATTTCAGGTTCATGTTTCTTGAAATAGAAGGGGCCAGCGCTCATACGTGCTATACTTGAAGGTCACAAGACATTTTACTCAACCACGCTATCCCTAGATGCATGACAGCGCCTCAAGTGAGTGATCTGGATGATCATGTCGGGAAACTCGACCCCGCCCACATGGCACCGTCAACCTAAACTTGAGAATATATTCAATCCATGGCAGCGCATAGGAGCCGCATGCCAGCTGGTCGGGTCACTCATTCCTCGCGAAGAAGCAGGTCGATGTGACAGCGGTCTTACATGGTGTCTAGAAGGCCTTGTCTCACTGAATATCAACAAATGATTTGTAAACCGGCGTGCGCGCACCCCAAAGCCTGATCTGACTACTGACGCTCTCCACTGTCCCTTCGGCAACTCCAAACCCAATGTGAGGCCACTTCCAAACATACAACCCGCCACCCGCTGTCACCACACCGTGTGCCGGGTTGTTCGAACGGCGGCTGAATACAGAAAACGGACAGGGCTGTTTACTCCAGTCCTGCATAGGCATCTCAACTCGAGGCCCCACACGAACGATCTCCCAACAACACCTTGCTGACACCCACATCCTCTGCAGGCGCTGCAGGCACTGGAGCCATGTCCTCAGTGACCACAAAAGCAAGACGCTTGGATTTTGGGTTTAGGGTTTGCGGGTTTATGGTTTGGACTTTAGGGTTTGCGACATCCCAAGCTTAGGGTTGAACTCAAACTTAACAGTGCTCGGGGGTTGTGCATGCACATTGCGATAGACATCCAAGTTACAACCACCTGTTTTAAACGTCCCTGAAGCATGACCCAAGCAATATCTGTACTTTCAGCATTGTGTGGCCTCTTGCTCGTTCACGTGTTTCGGGTTCAGGGCTTCCGGGGTTACATCACGGAAGAAGACAAATGTTCACCTACACCGATCTTGACACTTCGAAACTTTTTCCGCGCCAAGCACCAAAATACAGGGACTGTGAAGGAAAAGTGCTGTATACCCAGCTTCTACAAGCCACTGTATTGGGATCAAGGCTTAGGTTGGGGGGTGGGGGGCTGAGGGGTTGGAGTTTCGAGCATGTTGTTTCGGGTTCAGGCCCTCAAGGCTTTCTGTGCACTCCCTAGGGTCGGACCTGATCCGACGTCGTACCCGGAGCTGTGGACGTAGTGTCCTGCGTAAGGCAGGACATTGCAGAGCTCGAAATCCGCTATTTATGGTCGCTTGAGCCACACTCCAACCCACGACACACTCGATGCTGAGATGCTGATGTGGCTCTCTGGACTGGGCTACGAAGGCTCTCAGGGAGCTGGGAGCTACGACTTCACCCACGCCCGAGAAAGCCCAGGTCCTAGAATAGATCCCCGAAATATCAAAGCCCTGGACCCAACAATGTCGAATGAATCGGCTCGTCAGAACAAACACTCCTGATGTGACTTGCCAAGCTTGATGATTAACCGCAGTCCTCCTGAACAACTCGGAACACCTTGCAGGGAATCATATCCTCTATGCAAGTCTCGCAAACCCTTCGCGGACGCAGGGCTAAGGGAGACGGGAATTTCGAAAAGTGCGACTAGGGAACCCTGCACCCCCTACTCGCCCAAGCGCAAGCCGCAAGCTGAAGCAACCAGTCTTAATTGCCAAATCCTAGACCCCAAAGCTCAAAAGCCCAAGGCCCTAAACCTCAAAAGCCTGGACCCCTAAGATCCTCACACCCTAAAGCCCATACTGCTGAACCAACAGACCCCGAAGCATCCCCGAATCTTTAAACCCCGAAGCCCAAACACCTAAAAGACCCAAGCCGGCTTCCAGGCACCTCTCGGCTCTGCACAGCTGGGAGGAGTGATTCCAGCTCCGGCTCCTGGCGCCCTAAACCCGAAGCCCCTTGAGACGATAAAGCCCTGAAGCCCAAAGCATCTTTCCGGGAACCCTAAGGCACTGAAGCCCTGAAGCCTCAAACCCTCTCAAACAGTGCTTCGAGCCTAAACCCTCGACTCGAACTCTCAAGCCTGAAGGCCGAAAAGCCCTAAACCCCTAAACCACATGTTGCACCCCAGTCTTCAGGGATTGCAGGAAAGGCGAAGGCTTTGAACCAGCAGGTTTAAAGAGAGCCTGCCTCTTGTGCTTACAAGATTTCGAGCACATTTCGGCGGCTTCATCAGCTTGTTCTGGTAGCTTTTGCTATTGTACTCCGGAGGCCTCTCGCTGATGCCTATTGCGTGCCATTATGTGAGATTCGAGAAACCACTGTCTTTAGGGGTCGTTCGGTATGAACCAGCAGGAGTGTAGGACTTAGGGGCCTGAGCAGTTGAGGCAAGTTCGGGGGAATGGTGTACTGCATTGGGATGGTAACGAACAAGAGTACTCTCATTAACCAAAAATTGCGGATGCTGGTAGCGGCTCCTATGTTCGGCAGGTGTAGCTTTCAGGCTGTAGACTGCAATCTAGGGGGCTTGCGAGGGCTTGGCATTCGGCTTCCGCAGCTTTGCTGGCTGGAGCTGTGACATGGTGTAGAGAGCCTGTGAATGACGGCACATTGTATCGGGGCCGGGCTGGCTGTGCAGGGTTTCGACTTGGCTTAGGGGCTCAGCGTCAAAAAGCTTACGACATCCACAGACACTTAGAATCTTTTGGAGTTTAGTTAAGAATGCCTTTCCTTTCTCTAGGACTCTAGAAGCTCTAGGGATTTCGTGTGAAGCTCCGAACCTGACATCTGAAACCCGAAAGAACCTGCCCTAAATGGGCCCTAAATTCTAGTCCATACCTAAATTCTAAGCCATACACCTCTGTTTCGAAGCCTCTATCATTTCTGAAATAAACATCTTGCATCCTCTGATCCCAAGCTGCAAAGAACCTACAGCCCAATACCAAAACGACATGATCGGTTCAACCCGTGCCAGGGCGCAAGCAGAGATACTAGACGAGGCTATACAGAAGGTCTCAGAAATCACAAGACTTGACATCTACTCCAAGAAACGCGCCTCGCGTTGAGCAGCACCATGCATCCTGAAGGCGAGATTTAGGTAGGCTGGGGCCGCTAGGGGTTTGGGCTTTGGCCAAGGTTCACGAACCAGGGCTGTGGCTTGTAACTTCTTTTGCATAAGGGGGCTATATGGGTAAGAGCTCTATGGATTCTTACAGTCTAGCTCTGCGTACCCAACGACCATGCCACGCTTTCGTGCTGTGATCTTTCACGTCCTCGGTTTAAGAATCACGATGCAGTTGATTGTACGGACGACTGTAGAAAGTACAACCTCCAATAATCCCGACATGTATGTTTAAAAGCCTAATTAAAGCCGTTGTTAGAAGCGCTGTTTACGCTTTGAGCCGGGTTTGGACTGCTGCAGTTGTGCAAGCTGCAGTTGAACCACATACTTTGAACCCCACAGCCAAGCCCAACACATGGGGCATCGTTTCAACGGTTGGATCATGTGCGGTTCCGGGGATCCCCAAG